AAAGGCATTTGGAGGAACCAGGTGTGTTTGTTGCAAAATGATATGGTGAAAAGTAGTTAGAGATGACAGAACTAGCAATTGGTATATCGCAACTGATCATTTCAGAGTTTGTATTTAGAGAGATATTTTATTTTAACCTGACAGAAAAAGGAAGCTATTCAGGGGCTGGTTAAGAGGAGGGAGAGACATATTCTTATACTTAAAATGATAACTTTGGTTTTGCTTCTTTCCAAATAGTGTATGAGAGACTAGTTGAATCTTTTGTAATCATGCAAGTGAGGAATGATTGTGGGTCAGGAATCTTTTGTCCTGTTTTATTGAAAATAATTGACATGCATCACTTTAGAGCTTACAAAATGATTCAATGATGAATATATTTATATTCAGCCAGTATGCATTGTCTCATAGATACAATAAAAAGAAAAAAATTTCCTTATGGGGACTCAACAAAAACAAAATAAACAATCCAGTCAAAAAATGGGTAAGAGCTAAATAAAAGGACATTTTCCAAAGAGGAAATGCAAATGGCCAACAGGCATATGAAAAAATGTTCAACATCACTTGTAATCAGGGAAATGCAAATCAAAACCACAATGAGATACAACCTCACACCAGTGAGAATGGCACATATTAAAAAAAACTAGCAACAAATTTTGACGAGGAGGTGAAGAAAAAGGAACTCTCCTGCACTGCTGGTGGGAGTGCAAACTGGTCCAACCACCATGGAAAGCTGTGTGGAGATTCCTCAAACTATGAAAAATGGAGTTTCATTATGACCCAGTAATTCCACTCCTAGGACACAAAACATTAATTCAAAAAGATACCTGTACCCCTATGTTTATTGCAGCACTATTACAACAGGTAAGATATGGAAACAACCCAAATGCCCCAAAATAGATGACTGGATCAAGAAGAAGTGGTATATACACACACCGAAATACTATTCATCAATCAAAAAAAGATAAACTCATGCCATTCAGAGCAACATGGATGGAGCTGGAAGGGATTATGCTCAATGAAATAAGCCAGATGGGAAAAGAAAAATCAAATGGTTTCACTTATAGGAGGAATGTAGGGGATCCAAATAAGGGATCAGGAAAAAATGAATTAAAAAACAAAATTAACAGGCAACTATTAATCAAATACACTGCAGGAGAGGGGTAGAGAAAGGGATCAAAACAGGGGAGGGAAGAGCACAAAGGACTATGGCGATGGTGCATTGGTGAATTTGTGGTGGGAATTTTACAGGGACTATACCTGAGAGAAAAAAGGATGCATTGTACAAAAAGGAATAATGATGTAAAATTATACATACACACACACATATAAATCTATATAAAATAAAGTTTTCCTTATGAGAACTCAGGATTTACTCTCAATAACTTTCCTACATATTCTACAGTAGTGTTACCTATAGTAATTATGGACATTAAATCCCTAATACTTATTGTTCTTATAACTACAAGTTTGCACCTTTAGACTAACTTCCTCCAATTTCCCTTCTCCCACCTTCCAGTTCTGATAACTCTACAAATCTGATCTTTTTCTGAGTTACTTTGTTTTTAAGATGTCACATGAGATAAATATTGTATGTATTTCTCCATCTGACATATTTCACTACCAGTAAGTTCACATGTTATCAGAAGTAGTAGAATTTCTCATTTTTTTTTATGGCTGAATAATGTTTCATTGTGTGTGTATATAGTCAGCAACTTTTGTGCCCCTCACTCCCCCACTGCTACCCTCCCTTTCTGGTTGCCTGTTTTGCAGACAGATGACAAGATTTTATAATTGGTTTGGTTTTTGTCTGACACTTTGTTATGTTTCATTATTTTATATGTGAATATTCAATTGTCCCAGCACCATATGTTGAAGAGACTGTCTTTACTCCTGGACTATTCTTGGTCCCCTTGTCGAACTTCAGCTTATTTCTGGTTTCTTCTTCCTGCTCCATCAATTTATTTGCCATCATACTCTTTTGATGACTACAGATTTATATTATAGCATGAAATCTGGAAGCATAATACCTCCTTTTTTCTTTCTCAGAATTTCTTTAGCTATGTGGGTCTTTTGTTCTTCCATGTAAATTTTAGGAGTGTTTATTCAACTTCTGTAAAAAAATGTCATTGGAATCTTGATACCGAGATTGCATTGAATTGATAGGTGCATTTAGTAGTATTGACATTTTAACAATTTTTTCAATCCATTATTTCAATCCATTTTTCAATCCATTATTTCAATCCATTATTGTTTTGATAACATTTGATAACAGTTAGATAACATTCATCGCTTTATTTAAATGTATTTCTGTGCATTCTATTTTTTTGATGTTGTTGTAGATAGAATTTAATTTAGCTTTTCAGAAATGTCTTTGTTAGTGTATGGAATTGCTACTCATTTGGTATGTTAATTTTGTACCCTGTAACATACTGGATTTATTTATTAGATTTAAGGTTTTTTCTATACATAAAATTTTCTTTATAAACTATCATGTCATCTGCAAGTTGAAACAATTTTACTTTCCAATTTTGATCATTCTCCCTTTAATTCACACACCCCCCCGCCGCTTCCTTTTCTTTTTGCCACTTTGCTCTAGCTAGGGTTTCCAGTGCCATATTGAATTAGTGCCCTTATTTTACTGATAGTGGTAGAGGAAATCCTCCAGCCTTCACTAGTGAGTATGGACTGGTTATTTATACATCTATTATATTGATGTTCCCTCTATTCCTATTTTGTTGGGCATTTATATCATGAGTGAATATAGAATTTTGTCAATTTTTTTTATGTTTATTGAGATGACCATAAGATTCTTGCATTTCCTTCTATTAATGTGATGTATCATACTGATTTCTTGTGTATGTTGAGTGAATCTCATCCTAGGCATATTATCTCATTTGATCATGGTGAATGATCCTTTTAATGTGCTACATTCATCAGGGATATTGATCTGTGTGTGTGTGCACGCGCGCGTGTGCGCATGCGCGCTGTCCTTGCACACTGTCCTTGCACGCTGTCCTTGCTTTATACTGGAACTAAGTGATATTGGCCTTAAGGAATGTGTGGGGAGCTTCCTACACTCATTTTATGAGTTTGAGTAGGAAATGTATTAAATCCTTGAAGGTTTCATAGAATTCACTGGAGATGTTCTCTAGCCCTGGGCTCTTGTTCTTAGGGAGATTTTTTTATTTCAGTTTCTGCATTTGTGATTGGAGTGTTTAACTCTTCATCTTGGTTCATAGTTAGAAGGTGTAGGAATCTAACAACGTGTACATTTCTTCTAGGTTATCCTCCTTATCTGCATAGAGATGTTTGTAATAGGTTCTTATGATTCTTTGTATTTCTGTGGTATGTTATGCCTCCTTCATTTCTGATTGTTTATTTGGATTTTCTTGATTCTTTTTTAGTAAGCCTAACTAAAGGCTTGTCAACTTTATTTTTACAAAAAGACAGCTTTTTGTATCACTAATCTTTTTGGACTTTCTGTGTTTTCTAATTATTTCTGCTCTATTTTTTCTTTCCTCTGCTGATGTTTAAATTTGTTCTTCTCTAGTTCCTTCAGCTATAGTGAGATTGTTTGAGGCTTTTCCTACTTTATTTCATGTACCTATATTGCAGTGAATATCTCTCTCATAGTAATGCTTTTGGAGTATCCCAAAGAAATGGTAGCCTCTCCATTTTTTTTAAAGATTTATTTATTTATACAAGAACCGGGATACAGGTCAGAGGCATGGGAAGGTGAGAGAATTCACCAGACAGAGCAGAGAGCAGAACAGGCAGATGGACCAAAGACACTACTGAGGGGAGCAGTAGGCGAGGCAGAAGTCTGCCACGCCACATGGGTTTCTCCCCAGCTGGCTGGGGATCAAACTCGTGCTGCAGAGGCTGTGGACAGCTTCACAGCACTGCACTTAACCCACTGTGCCACTGGGGAGGCCCTCCATATTTTTTTTAAGATTTATTTGTACAAGAACTGGGCTACAGGCCTGATGTGCAGGAGGGTGAGTCACCAGAAACAGAGAGGGGAACAGAACAGGCAGACTGATGAAACACACTACTGAGGGGAGCAGTGGGCGAGAAGGAGAGGTCTGCAGCACCATGTGGGAATCTCCCTGGCTGGCTGGAATCGAACCTGCACTGCAGAGGCTGCAGACAGCTTCACAACACTGCGCTCAACTGCCTGTGCCACCAGGGAGGCCCCTCTCCATTTTCTTTAGCCTCCCGATACTTTGATGCCCCGGAACTTGAATCTTTACAAGAAGCCCCAAACTATGATTTTGCTGGATCACAATTTTGAATTGTTGATACTATATTTCAGTGTTCAAGCAATTTAGCCAGCTGACTTCTAAGCAGTTACATCTCATTCAACAGTTTCTCTTCTCCATTAGTTGGTACAATAGATGGAACTCTGATGTAATGCTACAAAGGATTCTGAGCTATGGGACAATAGAAGATCAAGGATTAATACAAATATTAGGGGGCATTCTGCTCATCTGATATCTATTAAAAGTTTTACATAAAAATGTAGTGTATCTGTTTGTTAGGACTACCATTAACAAAATACCATAGACTAGGCAGCTTAAACAATAGGAGTTTGTTTGCCAGCCTCAGAAATGAATGGGTTTCTTCTGAGGCCTCTCAGTTTGCATCTGGCTGCCTTCTTAGGGGATCCTCAGGTGGTCTTTATGCACATAGAGAAAATACCTAGTGTCTCTGTGAAGAAATTTCCTCCTCTTATGAGGATACCAGTGAAATCTCAGTAGAGCCCACCCTAATAACCTCAGTTTGAACTTAATGTCTTAAAAACCCTATCAGTAAATAGTCCCAGTTTTGGAATATAGAAGTAGGGATTCATTAAATGCATGTTGTCTCCCAGAACTCAATTCAGTCTATAACCTGTGACAATCTGTTTTATTAACACATAACTCATTTTTAAAGGAATGAAAAAAAAAAAGTCAGAACCAGTTTGAAAACCAATACTGAAATGTGTCAAATTTGAGCAAACAAGAGCTAGAAAAATTAGTACATTGAAAACTAACATTTATTTAATTTACTTTATGGGCCAGGTATGTGATACACACACATAATATATATTATATATAATTAGTCATTTATAAAGCCCACAAGATAGGTAATATTTTCACTTCTCGGGTGTGGACATTTAGATTCTGAATTTTAATCCAATAATTTACAAAAAGCTTTAAATCTCTAGCAGTATATGAATTATCAAAATCTTCACATTCAACATGCAGTAGCCATGGCAGAGAAAACAGGGATATGCAGTATAATTTAGAATAACTTAAGTGAAAATTATTAAAATAACAAAATTACATGGGGTAGAAAAAGATAAATTACCTGTAAGAGTCATTGATTTGCTCGCATTTCTAGATTATTAAAGATAAACATATCATAATCTTTATACCATCTTTTCTAGAAAGGACAGGAAAATTTTGGTGCAAATTTTGATGAGATGGTAAAAGTTTTAATCATTTTCTCTCCAGAGTAATGATCAAGTTTGAGAAAACATTCAAATATTTGGATATTACAATCTGTCCAAATAAATTGGGTACTTAAACTGAATATTGCTAAAGTATTTTTTTAAAGTACATTTTGGAATTACCAATTGTCATCTGAACAACGCAAATCACCAGCTAATATGGCTATGTACATAAGTCATAATTTTGCTTCATTTACTTTTGTTTACTTTTGAATTCTCAGTGTTACTTTGATTAGTCATCAGGTAATGATTTATTTATAAGTCAAATATTTAACTTTAAGGCTATAGAAATGAAAGTCAGAGAAGCACCAGTACGTGTCATGTTGGCATAAATGCATCATCTAAAATAGAACTATATTCATATTAATATATTTGAAAAAATTACAAGTATATATTAAATTAGACCTATTTCACAATTACATCCTTCAACCTCTTAAAATGAGAACAACCACATTCAAGTAGATTTATAAAACATTTTAATTTTGACTGAAAATATATGCGTTATCATTAGCCCTTACCTTATACTTGAAAAACGGGAACAATTGTACAGGAAAGGCAGAGAAAGAGAAGTTACCAAATTTGAAGCTCAAGTTCCAAAATATTCAAATAAGGCAGATAAAACCTCAAGATATTTTTCTGTTTTCCAACATTGTCAACATATTAATTTTACATATTCTTCATAAACACAAATATTACCATTTACTAGGAATATTTGTACTATTTAGGGTAAAATATAAATTTCTTGCCTTATTTCACAAACTGACCTGCAGTTGTTTTTTTTTTTTTTTTTCAAAAAACTATATTTAAAGAATAAATATACTCATGGCAAACTATTTAACACCAGCAAACATAAATGATCACTATTTCACAATGAAGTAATTCATAGCATTTAATAGCATATCACTCTACTGTAATTGGACTGACTGAAGTATGGATCTTTGTATAGACAAATTCTGATAAGACGGACACCTTAAAAATAGATGGGTGTAAAAGAAATTCCAGCAGTAAAGCTGGCATTAAAGTTGAAGTTATCCATAAGATAACTTCTAATCACATGTAGCAACCCTACCAACATTTCTAAAGAAACTAATGAAAACTGCTTCCCTGATCTTAATGTAAATTATAATTAGATAATAGTGCCTGTCTTGGGAAAATCAACTCAGTGGCTGATCTTTAGGTGAAGGAAAAAATACAGGGCTTTTTCATTATTTGGCACAGAGAAGAGACTACTGCTTTATTTTATAAGATTAGACTGTGAATTGGTAGCTCCCAAATGTGTAGAATTACCAGACATTATATACTTTCAGTGAATTTTGACATTGCAAGGAAAGATTTTACCACCTTATTTCAAATAAAAAATGAGCAAAGGAAAATAACAGTGATTTTTTTCGTACCAAGAGTATGGTAAGGAGGTCTAAAAAAATTGCTTGTACATACACAGCGACAGTGCAAAAGTCCTGTGCACAGACGTCCTGTGCACACTATCTCCTCACTATAGCCCCTTCTCAGCAGCCCCTTCAAAGAACTGAAGTGTAGTGGATGTTTTCTGTGGCTGGTTCACTAACACCATAAACGAGAGTGGACAGTGTCATCATTCATGTTTGCTGGAAGAACATTACTTTTGGAAATAGTCATTAGACTATTTTGTTAAAAGCAGTTTTCTGCTTAATACTGAACGAGGATGACTCTGTACTGATCTCCCTTTAGGGCATTTGTTCATTACCTCTTTATAAAACCAAAGTGTTGATTGATAGGCAGCCACTAAAATAACTCCTCCCTACGGAGGAAGCTATGTAAACCTAATAACATAATATGGTAACTTAACATATACAAGGCTTCACAAAGTGCAAAATGTGTTACATACAGCTTCATAGGCTTCATTTAAACATGGCATTTTATACAATATAGTACAGTTTAAGATTCCTATTCATAAATTACATCACTTAAACAACTACTTTAAAAGTTTGGCCACTCAAAGTAACCCAATGCCTCTTTTACACAAATATAGAGGAACTGTACAAGGCCTTCTCAGATCAAAATAAAGTTAATCTGTAAATCAAGCTAGAGACAAATCTCCCAAACAATGAGTTACATTAGTTTTGTCTTGCAAAAAAACAAAAGAGGAAAAAAAAAAAAAAACGCTGTACATAATAAAATAATTTTTTAGACAGCTCATTTATTTCTGCAAAAGCTGCTCATCCTGTAACTCTTTTGGAAAGGTTCTTGACCGCTGAAGAACGGCACTAAGTTCTTCAATGACCTTGGATGGTAACTTGTTATCAGAGTCCAAAGTAGCTTTACAACTCCTATCCTCAGTCTTCCTCAATGTCTTTAGGCCCCTCTGGACCTTTTGTTGCCCATGGAGGACCTCAGTCTCTGTGTCCTCCAGACAATTTAAACTCCGGTGTTTCCTGGTCCGGTTTCTTAGTCTGTCATCCTTCTGCTCCAGGCAGTGGGCCACCATGGAGGCTCTCTCCTTCAAACTCTGGTCCCCATACTCTTGATCGTGCTTTTCACTCAACCGCAGCCTTTCGAGTTCTGCTCTTGCACTCTAAAAATAAAATAAATTTTCTCACAGGAAAGCAAGATTTGGCACAACTTAAGTTTAAAAAATACATTCCAAATAAGTTATTGCTTCCTGTAATAGTTATGTCGGTGACTTAAGTTCTAACTTTACGTTGACACAAGTGGCTTGTCTGAATTTATACACTGACCTTAGAGCTACAAAATCAACTGAAATGTAAACCATGGAAATTTTGACATTCAGTGAACATACTGCTTTAAAGAGGCTTTTCAGGTTATTAATGTAACTTGTCTCTTCCACTTTGACTTGGATGTACCACAGCGCCAGGGACAAAGGTGGTCTTGGGGGACATGTGAGTTGGGAAATTCTCAACTACATTCCCTTTGTCTCATAATATATGTTAAGATATTATGCTGAGAGGTATTATGGCAGAGAAATCTGAAATTCATTTTCTACTCTTAAAATACTTGACTAGTGAAATCTTTCCTTCTATCAGAATTCCAGACATATATAATTATATATTGAAAGCCACTATTGTCAGAGGGCTAGAATTCCCATTCAGTGAACTTTAATGGTCTACCAGAAATAACTGTAGAGCAACCCCTGCAAGGGTACACAGGTACTTTCTTAACTAGTATTCAGGATGTCTTGTGACCCGGCAATTGTAGAGAAGAAGACTGAACAGAGAATACAATATATTGGCGGAAAAAAAAAAAAAAAACAGAAAATTCATTCAGTACACTAGATCAGGGTATAGGTAGGGATGGAAGGGGAAAAGTTACTCTTTTCACACAAGAGTTGAAAATGCCCTCTTAGTAAAAGTTACAAAGCAGAAATCTCAGATTTTTAAAAAGATGTCACAAATGTTTGAAAGGGAGAGAGTGAAAACTCTAAGTGGTAAAGTAATATATTAACTACAGGTGTCTGATATTCAGAAGACACGGCATCACCTTTTTCTATTAAAAAGCACTTCCACTTTCTACTATCCAGGAAAAGTTATTCATCCTTGTGATTGTCTGACACCTGCTCAGTCAAACTCAGTGCAGGGGTTTGCTTTTTTTTTTTCTGATTTGTCTCTGAAGTGTGAACTGGGTACACACATTTTAGAATAGAAGAAATTTTCAACAAATATTTTTAAATAGTGCTTTAAAGCTAAATGTGTAATTAGTGTCAGCAGATTCAGACATGCAATTATAGCAAATTCAAGCTGAACATTTTCATAAACTTGTATAATTTTGCAATTTAGAATTTTCAGGTAATAACCATAATCTTAATATTTGTACTCAAACCAAAGGGAAGAACTACTTAGAATGTCATGTCAAAATCAGACAGTCATGATGGTTTCAGTTAACTGTGACCTGAACAAAATTTTCCACTTTTACCATCTTTATGTGGATTTTAACAAAATAAAAACAATGAAAGCTGAAACAAAAAATCAAGTGAAAGGTGAGTGAAAAGTGTGGCTCTGATTGGGAATTTATTAATCTTATGAAAATCCATTTGGTGTCTATTACATGGGAAAAATTAAAGATCAATATAGTTTTATATATCATAGTAAACATTCTCATTCTTTCAACTATCAAAACAGCCTTTTAGAGTGCAATGTAGAATTTAGGGATCCGCTCTTAATACATGAAAAGTTGAAAATAATTTTAGGCTAAGTGACACAACCTTATGGGGACAGGTGGTAGAAATGAATTTTTAATCAAGAGAATGAGACATGGAGTCCTTTGCAGGGACAACACGGTGTGCATGAGTGTTTTGCATGCCATGGAGTGTCAGCCGAGGCCATGCACCTGGTTAAGGACAGAGTGTGTGTACTGTCCTGAAAAGACATGCTAATTCCATGTACTTGTTCATTAGTCTAAAGGCTTATTTTTTTTAGTTTACCCATGTGTTGGGTTTCTCTAAATACCATATGACCGAAATTATATGGTGTCTTATCTTTTTTCCTCCTGACTTCACTAAGCATAACACCTTCTAGGGCTTTCCATATTGTTTTCGTCATCTACCAATGGGCACTTCGGTTTTTTTGCAGCTCATGACAGTTGTGATCCTGCTGCAATAAACACTGGGTTGCATCTATCTCTGTAAAATAGCGTTTTCCTATTCTTCAGTTAAATACCCAGAACTGGATCATTCGGAATTTCTACTTTCAATTTTTTGAGGAAGCTCCATACTGATTTCCATAAACACTGCACTAATTTATATGCCCAACAACAGTGTACAAGGTTATTTCTCACCACATTCTCTCTTTAAGTTTCTTGTGTTTTGGATAACAGCCATTTTAATAGCTGTAAGGTGAAATCTCATTAGGAAAATGCAATCAAAACAGTAAGGGGTGAAGAGTTTTTTATGTGCCCATAGTCCAATCATATGTCGTCTATAAGAGTTCTTTTTATATTCCAGATATAAGTCCCTTCTTGCATCTGATTTGCAAAAAAAAAATTCTATTACGTACATTGTGAATTTTTAAATTTTATGCTCTACAACATATATTGCACCATTATTTACAATAGCCTGGAATTGGAAACGTGTGTGTGCTGTGTGGCTACACCACACTATCTCTTCATTTTCTTACAACATTGTATAAGACTAAAAGGAACAGATTCAAACCTATACAGATGTATGTTATCACGGCAAACCTCCCCCAAAGTACCAATATCCTCCATTTTGGTAACGGTTTATATTGCTTTAGGAAATATAACCATTTTCGTTACTGTTGCATGGAAAATCTTTCCATCTCTTTGTGCCTTGTTTCTTTCAATGCTCATAATGGAATTTTCCTGATGTCTTGCTGCTAGTTTATTTGCATGTAGAAGTGCCACAGCTGTGTTTGTATGTTAAGTTTACAGCCTACCACTTAACATAAGCTATTAGAAATAATACAGTAATCTGCAAATAATGAATTTTATATTCTAGTTTGGATACATTTTATACCCTTGTCTTGTTTAACTGCTCGGGCTAAGCCTTCCAGTACTATATTGAATACTACAGGACAAGTTTTCACCACTGAGTAGGATTTGGGCGGTGTCTTTTGTAGGCTTATTTTGCAGAGTTTTTATGAAAGGATGGTGAATTTTGTCAAATGTCTTTTCTAGGTTTGTGACGTCTTCCCTTTTGTTGATGTAGCACATTTATGGACTTTCATATGTGGATCATACTGGCATGTCTGGAATAAATCCCACTTGATCATGGTTTGTTTCTTTTTATGTGTTATTGAGGATTTCTACATTTATGTCCACCAGAATAGTGGTTTGTATAGTTTTGTTTGTGATATCCTTATCTAGTTTCAGAATTAGGGTAATAATTTTGGCTCATGGAATGTGCCTGGAAATTTTCCCTCCTTTCCATCTTTTATTGTGATATATTACCTCACCACATTCACAACCTAAGCACACATAATCCTCAACATAGTCCACTGGGTCCCCAACTCTTTTCAATTCTACAGTAAGATTTCTAGAGTTTGTTTTTATTTAGTTTTGTCTGTTCCTTTGTATTACTTGTTTTTCTTCTTCTGATTTATTTGGCTTAGCATAATCTCTTTCAGTTCTATCCAGGGTGTCACACATGACAAGATTAAATGTTTTTCTACAGCTGAGTACTCTTCTGTGTAAATATATATATATATATATACCATACCTGCTTTACCCACTCATCTATTTTTGGCATTTTCGATTACTTAGCTACTTTAAATAGTGCTGAAATAAAGAAATGCAGGTGTCACTTCAAATTAGTATTTTCTGCATTCATCAGGTAGATACCTAGGTGTGGAATTGCTAGATTTATTTTTAGTAGTTTGAGAAACCTCGACATTGTTTTCTGTATGTGCTAAATCAGTTCACATTCCCACTAACAGTGTGTGAGGTTTCCTTTTTCTCCACATACTTACCAACACTTATCTGGTCATTCTGATATGGGTCATTCTCACAGGTGTGAGGTGGTATTTTGTGATTTTTATTTGCATATCCCTAATAGTGATCAGCAACATTTCATGTGCTTTTTTTTGTCATCTCTACATCTTCAGAGAAAAAAAAATCTACCTACTTCATTCTCATTTCATTGTTTTCTACAAGTTGGATGTTAGCTATTTGTTGGTATAGATGACACAAAGAAATGGAAAAATATTTCCTGCTCTTGCATGGTAAGAATTAACATTGTTAATATGGTTATACCCAAGCAATATACAGATTCAATTCAATGCCTATCAAAATTTTAATGACATTCTTCAGAGAGAAAGAACATTACTGACATTGATATGGAAACATAAGACATTTACTAGCAAAATAAATCTAACAAAAATGGAGGTATCATACTCCCAGACTTCAAACTAGACTACAATGCTATTGAAATAAAACTAGATACCAACAAAGGGACAATAAATCTATGCCAATGGAGAGAGAAGTATGAAACAGTAAGGAAAGTCTCTTTAACAAATGGTGTTGGGAAAGTTGGACAGCCACAAGCAAAAGAATGAAACTCAAGTACTAACTCAGATTTGGTCTTTGAGACCTAAGTATAAAATATATAGAAGAAAACATAGGCTAAAATACTCCTAGAAGTTGATTTCATTGATGGAGTTGAGGACTTGGACTGACAGAAAAGGAAATCTAAAACTGTCTAATCCCAATGAAGAAGATATAAAACCACCTTTTACATCCTCTTCCTTTCTGTTTCAGGGACCCGATTAAGGTATGGAAATGTGCATCAGTCCCAACATGTCTAAGAGTGTTAACAGCCTGTGTCCTTTCCTGAAAAGGCTGAACTTCAAGTTAAGATTAATACTGCTTATGTGCTCTCCTGCCCCTCAAGGTAAGTAGGAAAACGAATAGCCGCTTTCATGAAGATGCCAAATCTACTTTACCGATACCCTGGGATTATCTTGCAATTACTTAAATGAGACATGCCATTGGTTCCCAAACCTCTCCATCTCAGTTGCATTAATAGAAAATACAGTTACCACAGCTCCAGACATTCTGCCATGGGCTCATTCTAAGGTTGTTAGAAATGAACTTGTAAGACTCATTTGACACTGTAATTTTACCACCAGAACTTTTGTGTACACATGAATATTCAATAGCAAGGTCAGTGATATTATGAACAGCTCTATGCCTCTCGTAGAAGTTTTAATGTTTTCTTGGTAGATGTGATTTTTACTGTAATTATTATTGTGCTACTGAAGCCATTGAAGTGGTAATGCACTTAATCACATTAAGGCATAAGAAACACATGCTGTCATTAAAACAAAACCTTAACCTACCTCGATATTTCTTCGGGCTTGAGTTGCATTTTTCTCATGCTGGATGGGAATTAGAGGCAAACCTCCGATTTTGGGGTTTTTGGTTATAGAACGTTTTCGTTCCTTTCCAGCTGGTGGACAGACATCATTTTCATGCTGTGGAAACACAATTTCTTGCTATTGGTGTGATTTTATTCTGCGGTACTCACAAGTATGGCACTTGACTCCTTTTCCTCATCTACAAATCAATGATCTGCTTTCCCTGGGAATGCCATTTGTAATTATGCTGTTGACTGGCATTGCTGGAGGATGTAAAACTCAAGTGAACTGAGCTTCAAGGCCTCAGTTCAATTTCTAAATACTAACCAGACCCAAAGGGGGGAAATATTTGAGGAGTCCAACAAATCTCTTTGTGAGAGACAAATAACACACCACACTTGTCGGCCCTGTAATCAAAATAACTATACATTCATTTTCTCTCTCTCTGTCAAAGATGACTTTAGTGTGAAAATAATTTAATCTCTATGCTAGGACTCAACCTAAGGCACAACTATCAGAAAGATTAGCCTTATTTTATGCTCTACTTAAAGATGTTACTTTTTCATTTAATTAAATTCCAAAGAGACATTACCTTACACACAGACATTTATACTGAAAATCATTGTACACCAGAGTGGTACATTTGTTCTCAAATCGACTGCAGATTCTGGCACACTGAGCAATTACAGATGTATGACTAGAAAGAATTTTGTAATGGGGAGAAATATCCCTTTGTGAAAATGCAAGCTCTTCACTAAGATAAATACTTGAAATATGCATATAAAAGAAAAATCCTGAAGGACTTTTTCTGGTCTTCAGAGCAGATTAACTTTTCATAAGTTGGGAAAAGTAAACTGTTATTTCAAAATCAATCTATGAAATAAATGCAATACAAAATACCCATTGTAAAAAGGACAAGCTTACAGATGTGATGTAATGAACATCATATAGTAAACTACACAGCTAAATGACTACCCTTTTTCTTTTTAAAAGGAGATAACACTGGGTCACAAAGCTATTTGGACTCAGAGGCATAGGATCACCTCTTCACATGCATGACACCAGACCACACTCACCATGGAGGCATCTTAGTTCACTATAGTCCTTTGTGCTTCTTTCTACTTTGTCCTCCCCTCTCTATAATGTGTATCCATCATAGAATAATGGCTAATTGATATTGAAGGGTATATGGCCAGGCTTCATGCTAATAATAGATATGTACAGGCCTCCCCGGTGGCGCAGCGGTTGAGCGCTGGATTGCGAAGCTGCCCGCAGCCTCTGCAGCGCCGGTTCGATCCCCGGCTGCTCCCCGGCCACCGGAGGAGGGTCCCACATGGTGCGCAGACCTCTCCTGCCGCCTGCTGCTCCCCTCAGCAGTGTACTTCGGTCCTTCAGCCTGCTCTGCTCCTCTCTCTGGCTCTGGTGAATTCTCTCACCCTCCCACGCTTCTGACTGTACCCAGTGCATGTATAAACAAAACAAATAAATAAATGAAAAAAAATGCCTCTATTAAAAAAAAATTTAAAAAAAAAGACATGTACTATCACAATCCTACAGGACTGGACCTAATATTACTTACTGAGTATATATACTTTAGATCTACCCTTAAGTTTCAAAGAAGTATGTACTTTGTTTCAGCAAAGATAGAATGGTAAATTCAATATTTCAGAGAAAAAGTTATATATTGTTCTGTATGGTTTACAAACTCAGTAACTGGGATGTCCCCAACATGTTTATCTGGGAGAAAACTGGTTAGGAAGGAATTTATACTGTACACTGGTGAATACAAGTATATGTGTTGATATGTATCTGAAAACTACTCTTGGGCTCCTCAAAATATTTCTTTCTGTGATGTAATATGCATACTGCAATGAACAATGGGTCTTCTCAAGTGCTAACCTTGACCTCCTATCTTTCCAGTTAATGTAAATAACCTCAGGACCTATACTCATCTTCCCTCTATCATACTTAACAGGCAAAGCCCCAAACTGAACTATATCTAATCTTATTTACTCAGTTGGTGCGAGCCAATTGATGGAGGAAAAACAACAAAAATAGAAAAGCACACTATAGGTTGATCTCATTAAGCTTAAATTTCAAGTAATTAAATTTCAAAATTACCTTGAAGTTCTACTATAAGGCAGAACTGGCTTTCTTACTCCCCAAAGTCTATTTCTCTTCTAATATTGTAAGCCTCCCTGGCTTACAAAATACAACAATCAATAGCCAAATGATAGCCTTCTCTTATATTCCCCCATACAATTGCAAACGCCCCATTCTGACCCCAATCCTTCCCCTCCCGCCCCCCACCCCCCAAAAAGTGTCTCTGGTTCATAGTTTTTTGTTGATTTTGATTTTCACTTTCTTATATTCATTTTCCTGGTCCCTTATTTAAGTTTTCTAGATTCCTGCTATGAGTGAGACCATCCGGTATTTTTCTTTTTCTTTTTGGCTTATTTCGCTGAGCATGATCCCTTCCAGTGCCATCCATGTTGCTGCAAATTGCATGTGTTTATCTTTTTTGAATGCTGAGTAATATTCCATGGTATATATGTACCACATCTTCTTGATCCAGTCATCTATTTTTGGGCATTTGGGTTGTTTCCAAAGCTTAGCTATTGTAAACAGTGCTGCTATAAACATAGGAGTGCAGGTGCTCTTTGGAATTGATGTTTCTGTGTCCTTTGGGTAAATACCTAGGAGTGGAATTGCTGGATCATATGGAAGCTCTATGTTTAGTAGGTCCAGAAATCTCCACACAGCTCTCCATAGTGGTTGGACCAGTTTGCACTCCCACCAACAGTGCACAAGAGTTCCTTTTTCTCCACATCCTCGCCAACATTTGTTGTTGCTAGTTTTTTTAATATGTGCCATTCTCACTGGTGTGAGATGGTATCTCATGGTAGTTTTGATTTGCATTTCCCTGATTACAAGTGATGTTGAACATTTTTTCATATGTCTGTTGGCCATTTGCATTTCCTCTTCAGAGAAGTTTCTTTTTAGCTCTTCTGCCCATTTTTTGACTGGATTATTTTCTTTGTTGTTGCTGAGTCTCATCAGCTCTTTGCAGATTTTTGTGATCAGTCCTTTATCATTAGTGTTGGGTGCAAAAATGTTCTCCCAGTTGGTGGGGTTTCTCTTTGTTTTTGTTATTGTCTCTTTTGCTGTGCAGAAGCTCTTTAATTTGATGTAGTCCCAGCTGTTGATCTTTGTCTTCACTATCACTGCTTTGGGTGATGTGTCTGTAAAGATGTCTTTGATGTGCAAATCCCGTAGTGTTTTGCCTATATTTCCTTCTATGTATTTTATGGTTTCAGGTCTTATGTCTAGTTCTTTAATCCATTTTGAGTTGATTTTTGTGTATGGTGTGAGGTAGTGGTCAAGCTTCATTCTTTTGCATGTAGCGACCCAGTTTTCCCAGCACCATTTATTGAACAAACTTTCTTTGCTCCAATGCATAGTCTTTGCTCCTTTGTCAAAGATTAGTTGACCATAAATCTGTGGGTTTATTTCTGGATTTTCTATTCGATTCCATTGGTCTGTATGTCTGTTCTTGTTCCAATACCATGCAGTTTTGATGATTATGGATAGCCTTCTCTTGATTATAAATAACTTCTTTCCACCATGTTTAAAATTGTTCTAGTATGCCAGAATATGTAGTCAACAATTTGAGAATAAATGTGCATTTTCTCACATTATTTCATTTCTGCTCAGGGCCTCTACTGGTTTGATCATCTCTCTCCTCTTTTTTTTCTGCCAATTACTAGATTGTCAGCATATATGCTAAGTATAAACTTTCCTATGTGAAAGACAAATCAAAATCCCATAATTTGCAATTCTTTCCTGCTTGAACTTTAAAAATTAGACTGTCCTAGAGCTTATTTGTCTTCCTTATTCCCATAAGTCACCCAAACCCATGGCATTCAATACAATCTAAATATTGACTTCTTTCAAATTTACATTTCAGCTCTACAGAATACGTATGTCCAATGGGCATCTCAAATTTCATGTTGTCATCAGAATTCTTAATTTTCTTGAACATCTGATACTTTTCATTTACGTTCATCAGTCACTCAAGGCTCCAAAACTGGATTCTCCCTTGATTTCTATTCCTTCTCAAATTGCTACAGCTAATCAAATTACAAACCTCACAGGTTCTAGCTTCAAATATGCTTGAATGTGCAAATGCCTTGCCACTCTGCTCTGAGCTGCTAGCACTTCCACATAGTCAATCTTGCTGCATCCCGACCTTGTACAGTGCAGCCTCAAACAAGTAAGGAGTTATTTTTTCAATCACATTATATCCTGCCTCACACAGTCCTTCACGGATACACATGGAAATAAGCCAAGCAGGACCCTATCCTGGAATGCTGCTCAGTCCCATATTTCAGAGGGCCCAGCACTCCTCTCAGCTACTTAGAAAGGTTATCCCTGAGAACCCTTTCTCATCATTTAGTGTTTTTAAGAGGAAAGGAGAAACATGAGGCAGATATGCATACGGATCTTATGAGAGTCATGAAGAAAAACCTAATTGCACTTTTTTTTAAGTTAATGATATGTTAAACATGGGCTCTCATAGTCTGAAAGTCAAATTGTTCTCAAGGTCATGGAAAGTTTTCTGAGAATATGAAATATAAGCTGGAATCTGGAGACAGGGATGGATAGTAGAAAAGCTCCAGGAAGAACTCATCTAAGGCGCCCTTAGTGTTGACTAGTGTGTGTGTATTATATTCTATATATTAATGTTTGCTACTTTCCTGTAAGTTGTCTTATTGTGATGAGGCATTAAATTGAAAAGGACATTTATATTTACTTTAATACTAAAGTGGTAACTGAACTGAGTTTCAGGGACCTGGGCCACTAAGTGTAGGTGAGGCAGAGAGAAATAAGTGGGTTGAGAGCAATCTCCCTGGTTTCTGGCTACTTATACTTGATTTCCAAGAAGAGTTCACTGCCTTGATCATAAAAACAAAAATATCAATTTGCTTGTGGCACAAATGCTGTAGCAGTTCTCAAAAGTTATTTTTCAGATTTACTATAATACTTTAAATCTTTTTTTTAGGGTAGAACATCAACATTTTCAAGAAGAAACAAAAAAGAGAAGTCTAAAAAGTTAACAGCCACTCTTGTTCTACAAATATATTCCCAGGTATAGAGTTAGGCTGAGAAGAGCATTGTTTATTAAATGAATAGAGAAAATGGTTTTCAAAACAAGTAAGGACCAGATTTGGGGTGAATTAACTTCTCACTTGCAAGAGAAGTGAGGAAGTGCATTCTTGGTAATAAAGAGTGGCAACTTAATTGTTACCAGTGAATTTCAATGCTCTTGTGGGAAGCATAATGGGAATTCCATCAGACAAGGTTCGGAAAAATCCTATTAATGGGACTATTTAACCCTTCTCAGAAAGAGTGAGTCTTCCTCCCAGGAGAGTAAATGGGGCATGCTTGGTCTCTGACACCCCTGGGTTTAAACCACCAAGTAAATGTGCACCTCAAAGCAGTTGGAACCTTGGTTATTAACCTTTACTCCCTTATATGTCAGCCATATCATGTACAGTTTGTTGCAAGAAATACATGCATGGACTATTCTGAAGTATCTGGCCCGCAATGGGCATTAAAGCAAGGTAGGTGTCTGTCGTTGTTGCTGGAAAAGCAGTGGTGGGGACGAACAGGAAGAATGAACAAAAGGGAAGGTAGCACACTTTTCTAAATGATCAGTGTGTGGCTCTGGTGGGATGACAGTCCCTCTTTCTTCCTTAAAGTAATACACCTCTCCTAAGTTAAGGAGCTGCTGGGCAGAACAAACAGATACATCTGAATTTTCTTATTTTAAAATAATGTGAGAGAATGAAAATGTACATATAAAATCTCTTACTAAAATTAGAGTGATGATGAGTTTCAGAAAGTAGAAACATCTCTCCTACCTGGGCAATGAAGACACAGGCCATCCAGTCCATCTGAGTTTGTAAACTATCGCAACACAGGTGCCTGCAAAGCAAGGTTTATAAACTATATAATTCAAAAAAACAATGGAGTGTTCTCGAGCACATTTTATGATCAAGTGATCAGAAACCTTTTTAGGCTACCTCTGATCACATAATGTAATAAAAATGGAAGTTTCCCACTACCAATTGTCTTTGGCTTCTGTTAAGTGTACACTATCAAAATAGTCTAAGTATGTGAGTTTAAATAAAATACAGGTAAAGCCTTCGAAAAGATTAGCAATATTTTTGTAAAAGCAATGTCATTTGCTTTTTTAGAGAGAAAAGATCAACATCTTTTTCCCAGAAACTGAGCCTAAGGAGACAAATAAGTCCACATTTTTTAAAATGGGTTAGACAGTCTGCATCGTTATAACTGCAAACATTACTACCCACAAGATTCATGAAAAATGACCTAAACAGAAAAATCCCTGAATGTCTAATAACATTGATTCAGTAACCTTTCTTTGAAAACCTAAAGAAAAGAGATATCTTGCCCTCAAGGCTCACGTAGTCTATTAGGGGAGTCACACACACACACACACACAAAAACAATACACTGGCAGGAGAGGCAGAGGCTGTTTAACTGATGTTAGACTAGTATAGTGGACATTGAAGTGTAATTACTTTGTTTCTATATTACTGTGAATAAATTATTTGGAAAAATGTTAATTTCTGAAGTCTTGCTTCCTTCACTATTCTCATAGACATTATTTCTTTTCCAAGATGCCATTTTAAACTTTTTTTTTTTTTTTTTTTATAGAGGCATGCTTTATTTATTTGTTTGCTGGTTTGTTTGTTTGTTTTGTTTATACATGCACTGGGTACAGTCAGAAGCGCGGGAGGGTGAGAGAATTCACCAGAGCCAGAGTGGGGAACAGAGCAGGCAGAAGGACCGAAGTACACTGCTGAGGGGAGCAGCGGGCGGCAGGAGAGGTCTGCGCGCCATGTGGGACCCTCCTCCGGTGGCCAGGGAGCAGCTGGGGATCGAACTGGCGCCGCAGAGGCCGCGGGCAGCTTCGCAACCCAGCGCTCAACCGCTGCGCCACCGGGGAGGCCCCAAGATGCCATTTTAAATATGCACTCGTGTACAAAAATACTACTTATACATAGAAGAAATAATGATTAGAGAAGGGAGCTTACTGATTAGGTTTTTGGGGACATGTGAGTTTGAGGGAAGAGTAAGACTTGCATTAACCAGATCAGAAGAGGATGTCAGGGAGTAGTATGTAGCATGAAAGAAAGTAGTAAAGGGACTAATATAAAATATGTAGATCTGACGCAATATGGGATATATGGTGAATTGAAGACAGCTTATTTTATCATAAAGTAAAAGGATAGTCACAGGAGATGGAGCCTCATTCTAAGGGTTAGAGCACACCATGCCAACTGCCTGTACTGTTTGTGACAGAGTTTTAAAGTACAAGAGAAACATAAATCATTTTAGAAAACCACCTTAGTGGCTAAGTGACGTATATACCAGTAAACAAAAGCCAATTCAGAAAGAACACTCAGAACTTGAGGGAATAATCTGAACAAATGAATGAAGGCAGAACTCAAAGGTAGATTAGTAATAGTGAATCAGAGAAAGAATTAAGAGGCAGGTCTGGCTTAGAAGTGAGTGATGGGTAAGAGGACAGCCACACACTAGGGAGAAGGGTGAGATGCTGGTGATAACAATGAAAATCAGTGCATCTATGGAAAGAACAGGTTTCAGGCCCCCCAATTTTTTTAACTGAGCTTTAACTAGTTCTTCATTTAAACCTGAATTTTTCCTGTTTATCCTGTAAGAATTGGGATTCTGCACTCACTCAATACTTAAGAAAACAAATGGAGTTTCTCTTGAGGCATTGGCAAATAGGATACATGGGATTGAAATGGACCTAAACCCAAAGCAAATCAATTTTCCTCTCTATAGACTCCCAGTTTTTACAAAAGAATTTACCTTCACTTAGGTGATACATTTCCTGTCTGTACATATATCTATCAAATAACACTGTGTTTGGTAAACTGAAGTATCTTATCAAACTGATAGCCGTTCACTTACCAGTGATGTTTTTCAAAGTATGCTGTCAATCCCCAACTGCATCACATGGAAAAAAAACACATACATATTAACATTTACAAGATTAAAAACAAAACTAAATGTCAAGGAGGTGGTATTGAATGGTATAAATGTAAAACAGAACATCCACAGCAATAATTCATTGAGTATGAGTTAGCAAGAGATAAATATTAAGGGATTTCACTACACATTTACATGTACTAATGGGAGACAAAAGGAAAGGAAGATTTTTATGTTATATGAAAAAGGGAAAATCTCTCAAAACATGATTGAGAAATGACAGATATCAATGAATATATCCAAAATAATAAAAATAAGGTATACATATACACTGACCTAATGATATTATAGTAAATTAAAAAAATATGCAATTGCAGGAAGCTATTTGTACTATGCTTAGAAATTAAGCATAAAGGCAAAATTGAAATTTTCAGTGACAGAATCGCAATGTATATATACAGTTCATGAAAATGGTGTTTCCTAGTACTAAGAAACGTATTAGTACAAACATTTCTCTAATCAAAGAACTTTAGGATAAAAAAGTAGTATAAATCAGATGTTGAGATAATTTCAAGTGTCCAAGAGGCGCGCATCAGGTAGAAGGGACCCACTTCCTGTCTATGTATTTTCTTCTTAACAAATTTAACAAGACAGAAAGGGCAAATTACAGAGGCAGGCTGGACCAAAATGTTCTAAGTCAATTATCAGGAGGCTGGAAAGGAGAATTTTCTTACTGGAAAATTCCTATGTGCCCAGCCTGTGACTGATGAAGAAATGGGATGTGGAGAAACCATGTGCTTCCCAGCAGACAGTGTCACCTGGGATTTCTTGCTTTGCATCAGGAAGAAACGTTCACCCAGGTGCCTGACCTGAGTCTCAGAGGAAACATTGTTCCCTTTCTTCTCTATCCATGAAAGTTCCCAAGATCAGTCACAGGTCCCCTGTGGCATGTTGTGGTAACTTAAACATCTGTCTGAAGCTTAATTTATTAAAAGTTAGACTAATGCCTCTGCTCTCCAAGTCCATAAACACACATATTTTCCCCATGACTTTTTCCATAACTCTTCCCTTCAAACTTTACCTTGTTGGAGGCTTCATTTTCTTCTTTACCCCAAGAAAAAACTTCATTGAACTGAGAGAAAACATTTTGTCATGTTTACTGCTCTGTAAGGGAAACAAAATAATTTATAATTAAACAGATTTTGTAAATATATTTTCCTAAAGTGCTAATAACTGAGTTTAGGGCCATTTAGTCCCCAGTATTTCATATATGTAGTATCAAGTGTTTAGTAAACCTACATTGTTTTGACTACACTATAAATTTAAATACATATTTTGCTTATATATTGTCTTGTGGAAAATTCATGATGCATTTTTGCTTGAAAATCAGAAAATATACATTACGACTTTTCCGACAATCAAATGCATTTACAAACACACATATGCACAATTTTATTCAAAATGCAGATGTGTATTACAACTGATCACTTTCTTCACCCTTTAAAAAACAGAATTCAAAGCATGTTCAATGTGTTCTGTAACTACCACACCACCGGTGTTGGGGGGACAGCAACCTGTATTCAAATATATTCAAACTTCTGTACTGAGGCACATAACATTTCATTTCATTTAGTGTGAAAAAAAGGTTATAAACATTATGGACTGAATGTTTGTATCCTCCCTCCCTGATGTCATCTGTTGAAATTTACACCCTAATGTGAGAGTATTTGGAGGTGAGCCCTTTGTGAGATTAAGTAGGTCATGAGGTTGTAACTCTTATGAACAGAATTCGTAGCCACATAAAAACTGATCAGAGTAGCTCCCCAAGTAAGGTTACAAGGAGAAATCTTCAGTCTACACCCAGAAGAGAACCCCCCAGAACCCCACCATGCTGTACCACACTCTCAGACTACCAGTCTCCAGAACAGTGAGAAACTTTTGTTTGTAAGTCACCCAGTCCAAATAGTCTAATATCTTCATGTTGGTTTAGAGCACTTTTTGCCCCCCACTGAATTATGAATTCCTGTATATTTTACATTTTAGAATTATGGAAAATAGCCTATTGAACTACCTCAAATATCCATATCTATGAAAATGTTTCTGAGAAATTATGAAAGACTATACAAATTATATTTGCACTTAATTAAATATTCTCTATAGATATCCTAATATTAATCCATTACATAGATCATCAAGAAAGTTGTTCTACAAAGGCAAAACTTGAATCATTTATACTCTAATTTTGCAGTACTGTTTACAAGAACCAAGTTATGGAAACAATCTTAGCACCCAAAAAAGAGGAATGGATTAAGGTGATGTAGTTGACATATGCAATGGAATGCTATTCAGCTATGAAAAGATGAACTCTTGCTTTTTGCAACAACATAGGTGTAACTGGATAATACTGAGTGAAATAACTCAGAAGAAGAAAGATATATACCAGATGGCTTTACTTATTTGTGGAATATTGAGAAAAAGGGTCAGACAAAACTAAACCAGTAACAGACCCTAGCAATCTGACTGAGGTATTGAGACTACAAGTTGGGGAGGGGGATAAACATTTTAGGAAGGGGGAACAAAGCACTATGGTGAGCTGGGGAGACTTGGCGGTGGGTGCAGAGTGGTAACATGCTTCTGAGGATGTGTGATCATCTGCCTCTGTATCACAATATTGTAAGTCTAATGTTACCTCAATAAAAAGTTTAAATCTTGATATCAAACCATATTTTATTATCTTTGGATAGATGGGATAAAATTTATAACAATCTGTCCTAATACTCTAAAATTTTTCAAGGAAATCTCATGTTTAAAATTAGTTATAAATGCTGTTTGGTTACCGAGATCAAGGAGTCTAGGATCGGAGACCTGGGTGCAAATCTGGATTGTTACCTGTAGACTCTGACCTTACATTTCTTCTCTCTGCTCTTATTTCTTGTTTGTAAAATTGGATAGTAGAAATAATGTCTATTTAAGGGGGTCCTTATCAAAATAAAATGGGAGATTTGTAGTTTACTGTAAAAGGCACACGTGAAATGAGAAAAATGCCTAAAAATTTAGAGGCTTAGGCCTCTAACTGGCATATAATAAACTCATGGGAAATTATAGCTATTATTGTTATAAATTTAGAACTCAGTGCCTCAGAGTAATAGTAATACATACTATGGTGAGGTTCCTAGGATATACATAAAAGCCCAATTAGCTAATATGTAGCTCAAATAACTTCTAACTTCTCTATAAAAGTTAAATTATTACCATGAAGTTTTTTATGAAGTCAGTTGAATTTGAAAAATGAAGGGTGGAAAATATGTTTACAAAATTAAAAATGCTCCCCATGAAGAAAAACAGAAAGGACACACAGAAGGAAAAATAAGCAGGAAGATGTTCAAGGATGAATTCCTTAGTAACTAATGACTTCTGTGTTAGTGATAAGTAAGGCCTGCAGTTTACACAACTAATTTACTCCTAAATCTCTATTATTAATAAATTTGTTATTATGACAGATAATTAGGGGAAAAAAACTTATCTTGGTTATTTTTTTTTCCTTTGTGGACAGATTTCTAAAAACAGTAAATGGCTAAGAACATGATTAAGTACAAGAATAAATTTCCACTGACAGGTACTTAGATTATTCTAGGGGAAGTGAGCCAGAAGGAGAAAGATAAATACCAATGGTTTCCCTTATGTGTGGAATCTAGAGAAACCAAAAAGAATCAGATAGAGACAAACTCTAAGACTGACCTTGAAAACAGACCACAGATCTGAGACACAGGAAGGAAGAAGGAGGGAGATAAGAGCACTGGAGGGGAGGGTGGGAGGAAGGGCAGGGAGCAGAGCATGATGGAGTGTGGAGGACTGTGGGCACTTTGGTAGTGGGAAAACTATGGGGACCACACCTGAGGAAAGAAATCCTACACTGTAAAAAAAAATATATATAGATATATATATGTAAATTCTATCAACAGACAACTGGATCAAGATATGGTATGGGGTGGGGGGCTTCCCTGGTGGCGCAAGGGTTAAGACGCAACCTATGAAGCAGTCCGCAGCCACTGCAGCATGAGTTTGATTCCTGGGCAGGGAGCTACCCACATGGCGCAGCAGACCTCTCCTGTCTCGCCTGCTGCTCTCCTCAGCAGTGTATTTCAGCCAGTCTGCCTGTTCTGCTCCCCACTATGTCTCTGGTGAATCCTCTCACCCTCCCACGCATCTGGCCAGTACCCTGGTTCTTGTATAAAAATAAATAAATCTTTAAAAAAAAAAGATATGATAGGTCCACACCATGGAGTATTATAAGCCATAGAGGATGAAATGCAGCTATTTTCAACAAAATGGAGGGAATGTGATCAGATTATAGGCAACAGAGTCACAATGATTAAAAAAATACTGGACATTTAGATATCAGTTTAATAATGTAAAACATTTTGAAAAATAATTGAATATTAATAAGCCTCCTGAGGGCTCTGAGGTTAAGGGGAGAGGGGAGAGAAAGGAATATTGGGATAGAAGGGGTGGTGATGGGGAAAAGAAAGAAAGAAAAAAGTATTTTGGCTAAATGATAGTTACATTTACTTAACATGTATTCATATATTTGCTAGCAATTTTCAATTTTGATTTGAACAATTTATCTAGTCTTAGTTATTTGTATTAGTTCTTCTTATGCCAAATATAAAATTGCTTTGTTTTTTTTTTTAAAATTCTATCTAAATGACTGCTTGCCTTAATTCTACTCATTATTTACTTTTATTAATTTCATGAAGTCAAATATATTGATTTTTTTGGGGAATTTCTAAACTATTGCTTCAAGTTTAAATGATTGCCATATAGCTAATGATAACATGGTTGTATAGCTTGATGGGCTGCAATATTTATTTATTTGTTTGTTTGTTTATTTATACATACCTACATACATACAAGCTACTGGGTACAGTCAGAAGCGTGGCAGGGTGAGAGAATTCCACAGAGCCAGAGTGGGGAACAGAATAGGTAGACTGATGAAATACACTGCTGAGGGGAGCAGTGGGAGCGGCAAGAGAAGTCTGTGCACCATGTGGGACCCTCGCCGGTGGTGGCCAGGGATCGAACCGGTGCTGCAGAGGCTGTGGGCAGCTTTGTAGCCCAGTGCTCAACTTCTGCATCACCAGGGGAGGCCCGATGGGCTGTAATTTTAAAAATTTTAATTCTTTTGTCAATCTGGAGGACATATTTATATATAGTATAGGTAAAAATTTAAATTGAAAAATTTTGTTAACAATTATTCCAGAAGATATTTATTGAAGATATCTTTATTTACATATGTACTTTTGAAGCTGTATTTATCAAAAATAATTTCTGATATACAGGTAAGCCATTTACCTATGTTATACCCCTGCTATCTCTATTCATTTTTATGCCAGGATATCATTAAAGCAGTCTCAGATTTACTGTACGCCTTAATAGTTGAATAGGATCCACTTCACCACTGTATTACTTTTTATGTCCGCAGACTGCTTCAAATATTCTTATCTGTTTATCCTTTGAAGTGAATTATCATTTTTTTTTTTTGCCAAGTTCAAAAAATAATTCCCTTTGGAATTTTGAAAAACTGCATTAAATCTATAAATCAAGTATTAAGTAGACTGAATATGGATTTTCTTTCTACCAGTGAAGTTCTGTAGTTTTCTTCATATAAGCTTAACTTCTTTTTAAGGTTATTATTTTGTAGTTTATGTGTTTTGACTTTTTTACTCCAATTAAGGACCAGTTTGGGGGTATTGATTTACTTGTTTTGTTAATGAATGTTAAGGAATAGTATTTGAACTAAGATGAAACAGCTTTATAAGGCAGTCAGCAGAGCAAATAGTCAAGGATAACTTAGCAATGTATACAGTAGCGAAGACTCCTAGCCACCTTTGTCAGAGGTAAATCAAGTCAAAAGTAAGATCAGTGTCTTTCCTAGCAGTATAGACTCTGTCCTTTAGATGCAGTCCCAACTGAGGCATAGGGTACTGTGAGGCAGCGCATCTGGCAATGTAGGTAAGATGGGAACTGTACTGGAGAATGAGAAGTCCTGTGCCTGACCTTGAGTCTGCACTTGCACAGGACATTGGTAAGCCAGGATTTGCCTACATTTTGAAGTATTTTTGTTCTAGATGGAGAGTCTGAAGTAATACAACTAATTTCCAAGC